TCCTCCTCCCCTCCCAGGAGCCTTCGAGAGGGAGGGGGTGTAACGAGACGACCGACGGGGAGGGGGTGTAGTGAAGCGAACGGGAAGAAGGGAGGAGGGGGGAGATAGTGCGGCGAGTGCAGGGTGAGTTGGGAGCTGCCTGAGGGAGGAGGGGGGAGGAGGGGGTGTGGTGACGAACGAAGAAGGTGAGAAGAAAAATTGCCCCCCCCCCCCTTAGGAGACCGCCCTGGATCCGCCTATGCTTAACAATAGCAAGTAAACGCATATATATGTGTCACAGTATGTAGTAATGCCAGCCGAGGAAAAACCATGGTTGTTTTTCCAAAGGCACGGCAATTGCCTAGTACAAAAACCTCGAGTCAGAGGTGCAGAATTTAAATAAAATGATACAGAATTCACACAGAATTAACATAAAAATCTGGCTGGGGAAACCTCAAACCCTGTTTATCAGAGGCAAAAGCTGACCGAAAAAAATTATAATGCGCGAGCTCAAACGTGCTACACTACGCAAAATGAAGCGCAAGAAGGACGAAACATTTTTAGTAAGTAGCATACGGGACATCAAATCGCCTGAGAGAAACGCCACTCTGAGAGAGAAAGGAATACATTGTTGCAGACAGTAGTGCAGCTTGCATAAGCTGCTGCCGCTGTTCTCCTAATTCACGTAAGGATTGTCTGGACCCTATGGATACGAGATGACAGCACAGCAATTAGCAGCCCATTCGCTTGCGACAAATGCTTAAAAAAGTCACCTCTACGAAATCTGGTCTACATAACTATGTCAACAGTATGTGTGCAGGTCCAGATAACACCTGTCAAAGTATATAAAATTTGGGATATTTGTTAGGCCTTGTCGGGTCTGTCACCTGCGTCTGTAATTCCTGACAAAAAAGCACTTTTTTCTACTGTCTAGAGCATATCTGTGTCGCTCAATGAGATCTGATCAAAACAAATCCTACATAACAATACATAACATACATAAGAAACACTGCCATAGACAGGTGCAACTGGAAGAAATGCTCAGATGAAATTATTAAAAAACTGTTGCGCCAAATTTTTGGAATGCAAACACCCACCGGCATGCTCGATATGCATTTTGGTTTCCGGACGAAAAATCTGTATATATTGTGGAACATTCGGAGCAAAATCCTTTACTGCCCACGACCTTAGAATTGTATGTTCGTCCTAAACACAACACTCAAAGCAAAGCTGAACGCAATTGTGCATATCGCTGAAAGGGCCAAAAACAATCCACCAGCTTGCTTTACAGGAATAAAGCGTGCCAGCCGACTTCACGGATAATTCGCTAAGTCTCTTCAAAGCCCTCGGCGCAACCAGTGTGCATCAAATTCCATGATATACGTGTTCCAGGCGATTTCACACCAAACAAACTAGTAATTGAATTATTATTAATAAAATTTGAAATAAAATTTGCCGTTCTTGTTTTCTGATTAATATGTCGCGCCGATAGAATAAAGCACGCTTTTGCAGAGGTCATCCTCGCTCTTTCCAAGTCTCCATCGATCAAAGCCGAGCCACGGATGTACAAAACTCGATTGGACCACATTGGAATCTTCAGCAGCATTCGCATACGGTCATCCATTTCACAAGGCGATAGCAAGATCACCAGATAGTTCTTCAATTTTAGCAGAAATTACCAATGCATTGTTTTTTTTTTCCTCCAATCTCCGCTAATTCAAAAGTGAAATTCTCAGGAGTTTCGATGAGCAGGGCAACCTGTCACAAAAAAACCGATACCCGAAGTTATTCAGTAGCCAGAGACCACATCCATTACTATCAGTTTCAAACAGTTTATAAATACGTTTTACCAATGGGCTGCTGATTTAATGCCGTTGCACATACAATGCGCTGCCCCACTAAGCCCCGAGAAGGAAATTTGCAGCAAGACCTGAAAAAGCTTCTGTAATTTACCGCGAGATTCCAGTTTGGTAAAGAAGCACCCAGTGCGAAACAACGATGGAACTATATTTCTTGCAGAAATTAATAAGACTGCACCTGATGTTCAGGATGGGCGTAGAATTCACTGAGGAAATCCTGGATGAATTCAGCTTCTAAATGAGTGACAGTTACAACAACGTGCTTCTCGTTGCTCGCCCAACTTTCATTATATTCACCACCTGCTTTCTGCCGTTCTACATATGTTTGGCCAAGTGCTTCAATCTACAACTTTTACACAGCTGTGTCATTTTCACGTGCTGCAAAAATCATAATTATCAAACTGAGGTTATTATCTCTGCCTACATATGAACCTGAACAAGTCACCTTGAAAGCCAAAAAAGCCAAAAAAATCTACTTTCAGTGGTATTTTTTTACTACGTTGGGAACAAAGATACAATTTTATCGAACATTCGCTCCAGTAAAAGTAACCTGTTTTGGAAGTATAGCGAACGCAATACATATGAGAACAACAACAAAAAGTCTCGACATCCACGTATCTGGATACCAATCCCCATAACCTGCAAGCAGTATTCCTCACTCGGAAACTCAGAACCCAACACCTGCCAGCTCAAAATGAAAATGGAAGTATTCTTACCAGCGCCAGCTACTTGTTTGATGTTTTATGCGTTTTTACTGTGCGCAACAGCGCTGCTGCAGCCAGCAAAAACGCATATTGTCGAGAGGCTGTGTGTGTTCAGAAGCGAGTGCGTTTTGTCACCCACTTTCATCTCAGCAACCAGGGAAGCTGGGA